ATCATCAACCGTAGGGGTTTAGGGTTTCAGGTCCAGGGCTAGGGTGTAATGTAGGGGCCTTTCACAACAAGAATACGGTTTAGGGCTCTTTTATTATAGTATAGCAATAAGTAAGGAGCCCTAAGGACTACTGTTGGTAACTATTTAAGGAAACCCTAAACCCTAAACCTTTGTGGCATCTTCTAGTGTTGGTGGCCGCATGATTGGCAGGAAGATCGCGTTTCCCAACCTGTTCATTTCGGGACCAGATAAGCTGGCAACCCAACCGCTGGTAGAGATACTACATTGCAGCATGGTGGGGTTATACGAGGGATTCTAATCCAAACAAACCTAAACCCCAAACCCTAAACCCCTAATGAAGTCATCAGGTGGTAGATACCCGGGTAAAGTTCTTTCAAACACCCTTGTGGAGCGGTGAAATCTTCAAAAAACCCCTCAGAGCCCCTATAAATGCATAAACGGTTTTAGGGTTTAGGGTCGAATTGGGCTCTGTGAGTTCCGGCGAGACAGGTTGACTGCCTCACGCGACTCGCGCCTGCAGTGGAGGAGGGGCTGCGTGGCCGCGCCCCTTATACGGATTTCTAGGGCTTGCTAAGTAGGGTTTGTCCATATTCAAGGTTTCATAAGCTGGGTACTTGTAACTCTACTTGAACCGACCCTAAACCCTAATCCCTAAACCCTAAACCCTAAACCCTGGGCACTTGTAACTCTACTTGAACCGACCCTTTTGCCGTCCCTCTTGAAGCAAGGGGCTGCGAGCATCAACACAGTCTGTTGGGCCTGGCGTATATACGATGTTTCATGATGCAAATGGTCAAGGGTTATAAAGTAGCGCCGCTTAACCATCGGAAAAGCTCAACCCAACACCCTAACCCCCGAACCTAGCTTGCATGTAAACCTAAGTTTGGGCAACAGTTTTCGATGCGTAGACCTCATGGACAGAACCTGACCCTAGACCGTAATTCCTAAACTTTAGGGTATAGATTCAGCTTCCGAATCCTAAACTCGTAAGCACCTGAACCTTACAACCCGGACCTCTAAACCCTAAGCCCTAAATGTGGGGAGGGGATCAGGGAGTTCGGTATCACGGAACGACAGGCGGCAGAAACCCTCACGCGCTAACCCCCCCAAAGCAGGGGTTAGGGTTTAGGGTTTAGGGTTTAGGGTTTAGGGGTTACGGGTTAGGGTTTGCTTATGTAGCAGGTGTTGTAGACAACCGGTTCACAGCTCTAAAGGCACCGAGTTTAGGATCCCCATTTTATCTTTGCTGTGGGAGAGTTTTTCCTAAACCCTAAGCCCTAAACCCCAAACCCTCGTCAATGTTGTGCACTCTTTGACTCCCTGCTATAGTTGTTGTAGAAAGCTCCCGGAAGGCCAAGTCCAATGATTGCTTGTATTCTGCGAACGAAGGATAGATTGAATAGGCCGATCGGCTAAGGTACCTTTGTTAAGGGGTCCCTATCAACGGACTAGTGTATTCAGGCCCCTGTCTAGTGTCCCAAACAAGACAACCCTCTTTGTAAGGACTCCTTCTTCGGATTCCCCCGTACCTGCCTTCATCCCGCCTTTGACGCCCTTTGATTCTGAAAGCCTAAGCCCCAGAACCCCTTAAATACTCACAAGAACTCAAGAAAGCCACAGGCAAATCATCCTTGACAACCTTGCAAGAACTCACCCAACACCCTAAATCCAAAGCCCCTTAAACCCCTAAATGCCCTTACCCCCAAACCCAAAACCCTTAAGTCAACCCTTTCCCGTAAGCCGAAGGTGCCCTGCACTGCCCTACTAATTATACCCTAAACCCTAAACCCTAATTCGGCTTCCAGGAGAATATCGATAGCGGCAAAACCATGCTGAAGGCGCTGGCGGACCAGGCGAGGGGTATGCGTCTTATTTAGGGTTTTGGGTTTAGGGTTTAGGGGGGGTTTGAGTGGGTTTAGGTGTCTCTTTTAGGGGGTGCAGTGGCTATTGGGGGTTTGGGGGGGCTTTCAAACCGTTTTGGGTTTTTTCAAGGGCTTTTCGGGGTTGAGATGTTTAGATTTCCAAGTCTTGAACTCGTTCAACTTTGCTTTCCTCTTCGGTAGCCCAAAAACAGCAACGGCACGACATGGGCAGTTCTCTCAACTAGGGTCCCTTTTTGGGCCCTCTTTATAAGGGTGCCGTACTATATTCGGGACCTTAATTTAGAGAACTACCTTTATAGTACCCTTATAGAAAGCCTTATAGATCCCTTTAAGGGATCCCTAAAAGCCACAATTCCACGACTTTAGTTGTGACACGGCTTCGTCGTGCAGGGTGAGCTCATAGCCTCGACAGGATCAAGGGTCTAGGGTCTAGGGCTTAGGGTTTAGGGCTTAGGGTTTAGGGCTTAGGGTTTAGGGCTTAGGGCTTAGGGTTAGGGTCTAGGGTCTAGGGTTTAGGGTTTAGGGTTTAGGGTTTAGGGCTTAGGGTTTAGGGTTTAGGGCTTAGGGTCTAGGGTTTAGGGTTTAGGGCTTCGGGTTGAGGGTTGAGAGCTTTGGGCCTAGGGTTTAGGATCTAGGGTTCAGGGCTGGGTTCTTAGGTTTTACTGGGGCAACCCGGGAACCCTAAACCCTTCGACCTTGACGCCCTGGAGCATAAAACCCTAAACCCTAAACCCTAAACCCTAAACACTTGCAAAATCTGAAATGCGGAGAAGAAGGTCGCCGCAGCTCCGGCGGCGTCGGAGGAACGTGCTGGTCGCTCAGGTTCGAGGTTGTGGAGTTGCCCCACTTTGTATTTGCAGGATCGTGGGGTTTAGAGTCTAGGGACTTAGTAGTTATGCGGTTCTGAATAATGTAACTTGGGTACATGTAACCTTACTTGCCGAGTCCCATGTTCCTCCAAGTAGTCGAGCAGGTAACCCTTTGCCTTGTTGAAGTACCCTAAACCCTAAACTCCAAACCTTATCATCGCAAAGTTGTTTGCAGTGCTAGGAAGATAGAGACCGGAACTTTGTGCTTCCACATGTGGCGCACGAAAGTGAAGGCGCTGCGGAAAGATAGCTTCACACAGTGTGGAGAGGTTTAGGGTTTAGGGAGGCCATCATGTTTCAGGGCACAGCAGCATGTCCTACCACAGCATTACAGGGCCTCCTACTAGCGCTGGTGGAGAAGCAGACTGTCGGATCGGCTGCAGGTCTTCCTTACACTCGCATAACCTACGTTTCTGTAGGCTCTTATTATAAACTCTCATATGGGATTTATGGGGACTCTGCAAGAAAAGGAGGTTTTGGTAGTTAAGGGTACTTGTCTATAACCCAAGACAAGCCTCCTTTCCAGAGCCCCAAACCCTAGCCTGTTGAACCCTTAA